GGTCACAGTGTAACCTCTTTATATTTGTCACCCATGATTCTTATTCCCTTGAAAATGCTTTATTAAGCTTAAATTGCATAAGTTAAAAAAATTATTAAAAAAATCCTTAAGGTTAAAAAAAAGTCTAAAAGATAAAAATAAGTCCATATTCTTCTAGATTTTTGTACATTCATATTTACATATTATCAGCATACATGTTCATGTTCTGTACATTCTGATATGTATTCTACTTTCTTTCCCTCAGGAAAACCCGACCTGGATTTTGTGGGCATAACACTGCTTTAATGGGTCAAGAGTATTCCATTGTATGGCCACACCATAATTTCTTTTGTCTTAGTGATGTTATACACAAGAAGCACAGCACATATTTAAAAATGGTAGGCAATAATAGCACCAGAATTTTTTTCCTTTTCTTTAGATGCCTAGAAAATGGGGCACGGTATAACGCTTATATTAAATTTTAGTAAATCAGGCGACTATCTCCTTCACACCAGTAGTTCACAAAAGGAATTGTATTTCCACAGCCTTATCAATACTGGTAGACAAAAAAAAAGATGTTTAATTATGTTTGTATGTGGGTATGTGCACATGAATGCAGGTGCTGTAAGAGGCCAAACGTGTCAAAGCGGGCTAGAACTACAGGCCACCGTGAGCTTCAGGCCATGGGTGCTGAGAATTGAATTCCAGGTCCTCTGCAAGAGCAGTACTTGCTCTTAAACCACTGAGCCATCTCTCCAGCCCCACTTTTCTCCTGCTTTCAATGGCTTAATTTTTCTCCATTTTAGTCTTCATTTAGGATTTACTCTGGTGTGAGTAGATGTAAATCTTTAATTGCTAGTCATTTCTCCAGAAATCTTTTTCTCAATGATCTGGCTTTAAGCCGCACGCCTTTAATCCCAGAGGTCGCGAGGCAGATACAGGTGGATCTCCGTGCGTTCAAGGCCAGCCTGGTCTACATAGTGAGTTTCAGGACAGCTGGGGCTACAAGGGAGACCCTGTCTCAAAAAGACCAAAAAAAAATAAATAAATAAAATAAAAATAAAAAAAAATTATTTCTTACTTTTTTAATGAGTGTATTGCCTGCATGTATGTAAGTGCACCATGTTATGCAATGCCCATGGAGGTCAGAAGAGGGTGTCGAATTCCTCTAGAACTGGAGTTACAGACTGTTGTTAGTTGCCATATGGGTGCTGGGATTGGAACCCGGGTCTTCTGCAACAGCTGGTGCTCTTAACTGCCACTCCAGTCCGGATGGCGCCCTTTTCTCATACCCTCAAAATACAAAATTTCAGTTGCCTTTCTAATCACAGAGGTCGAATAGAGTCATCTTAAGGGTAAAAACTTGCGTCACAAAATGTAGTGGCCAGTGCGGGTCTAGGTGGGATGCCCTTTTGTCCCGCTGCCTACCTTGAAACGCAGAGAGCCGCTTTATTCCGGCCCTTAGGTTACAAGCACTGTCAAAAGCCAGCACAGCCTGAGCACGCCACAGCACCCTGGGCGGTCCTGGGGGTGAGCCTGGGCATGAGGGACGGCTTCCGGAGGCTCATGGGTGACTTGACTTGCCTTGTGGCCAGCTTTGGCGACTCTGCACTGGCGGGCGGATACAGCGGTGAGCGGAGAGGGCGGCCCCGGACCGAGGCCGCAAACCGTTGCGGATTCCCCTCACCAACGGCTGTAGCCGGGACGCCACGCGGCGTCGGTGACGTCAGCGCGGGGCGGGACTTCCTGCCTGGCGCGCAGCTGGAGCTCTGTACCAACTCTAGTCCGCCGCGCTCCGGAGTGGCTGGCAGCCGGTCGACTTGACGGCGTGTGGGCCGCAGCTCCGCTCCCAGGTTGGCCCGGCGGCCCTGAGGAGACCGGGGCAAGGAGGAGGAGCCGGGATCGCTGTCCTGTTCACCGTCGGAGTTTCCGGGGCTCCGTCCGCTTTCCACAGGCTCATCCCGCCCGGCTCGTGGGCTCCTCCTCTGCAGCCTGCGGCGCAAGCGGCCGTCTGGACCGCCGCAAGCGTGGCGGGCTGGGCGGACACCTCAGAGGAGGGAGCGAGGCCCTCGGTCTCCAGTGCCTCGGCGAGCAGACCCGAGCTGGTGCGGCTGGCTGGAGCTGTGGTTTCCCCCGGGGGCGAGTGCGGTCAGAGCGAACGGCGCTTCCGTTCGTCGCAGGGACCGAGCTTGAATTTGGTAGGTAACTTGTCCGGTTGATGTCTGGTTGGAATTGTAGGATGCTCACCCACCCCGTCCCCGGCGAATCCCTTTTCACTTTTCCTTGTGAAGTAGTGCAAGCGTGTGTTCGAGAAGCTGGCGGGGAGACGGGTTCTGCATCCAGTTTTTAAAAAGCGCATGAAACTCTTTGGTGCACTGCGGCATGGGACGTGGAGCCGCTGAGTATTTGGCTTAACACGGAGCAGCTCTAGTTAAATTCGTGGTGACAGTGTGTTATTTTGTTTTCTCCTTCTCTCTAAAGATGTTAGCAGTGCTGTTTGCAGATGTTACAGAGGTAATGTCCGAAATATGTGTGTCAAATCCTTAGTGCAACTTTTGGCCATAATAGACACCTTGCTTTAAAAAAAAAAAAATCCAAAAGCGCCCTTCGCTTAGTATTTTAAGTCTTTGGTTATGAACCTTGAATGATCAAGCTGCTTCAATCTCAGATACGTCTAGGATAAGGAGAAATTTGTTCCGAATTTTTTATAGAATGCATACCTAATATGTTCATACTGTTAAGTGTAAATTACTGAACTGAGGGCTAAAGTATCCAGTAGGTTATTAAAGCTATGCTTCTGTTACCAAGCAACATCATAGTAAACAAGTCAAATATTCAACTAGAACATAATTAAATGTGTCCTCTAGTTATCTGGGTTCAGAATTCTTCAAATTCATTCTTCTAACCTGTAAGAGATTACATTTATTCACTCTTTGTATTCGATTTCATACACATTTTACTTAATATTATTAGAATACTTTACATTTCTCCCTGAGTTGCTCTTTGGTTGTTACTTAGTCCAGAGTATGCTGGGTATTTCTCTGAATCTTTTCTTTTTAAAAATTTTTAAAAAACTATTTTTATTATTTTATGTGTATGAGTGTATTGCCTGCATGTATGTAAGTGCACCTGTGTTGTGCGGTGCCTGTAGAAGTCAGAGAGGGCGCTGGATTTCTCTGGAACTGGAGCTAATGGACAGCTGTACAGACGGTTGTTAGCTGCCATGTGGGTGCTGGGAATGGAACCCAGGTCCTCTGCAAGAGCAGCCTCTGCTCTTAACCACTGAGTCATCTCTCCAGTCCTGAGCTTTTTCTTTCTAATTGGTTGCAGTATATACACTATAAGAATATTCTCACATAACAGAATGGTAGCTATTTAGAGTTACATACAACATTTGGGAGATTACAATACTAATTTTTTAAGTTTTTAAAACAAAAACAAGTTTTAAGCTTGGTATAGCAGTATCCTCACTCTACTTGTTGAAACCTTAATGATATAATATAGTCTATTTGGTGGGAAGGGCAATTGAAACTGCGTCTAGCTTTGTAGCTCATGCTGACCTTGAACTGTCCATTTTCCTGCCTCAGCTTCTTGAGTTCTGGGATCAAAGGCCTGACACTCCTATCTTAAATCATCTTTGATTTTTTTTTTAAACTTTATTTATTTAAAAATTATTTTTATTCTGTTTTGCCTGCATTTGTATAAATGCACCATGTGTGTGCTGGAAACTGAACCCCACAGAGATCAGAAGAAGGCATCCAATTTCCCTGGAACTGGACTTACAGATGGTTGTTAGCTGCCATGTAGATGCTGGGAACCAAACCCCAGTCCTCTGCAAGAGCAGCCAGTGCTCTCTTTTTTTTTCCCCCCCCTTATTTTTAATGATGTAAACAAACTTACACTAAAATTGAAGCTTCTGGAAGAACCATTTGTTTTTGCCCATTCCTGGTCTCGTAGCACTCCCCAAACTTGACCCTGGCCTCACATCTGGACTTGTGGTTTAGAGCTGGGTCTCTAAAGACATCCTTGTTGAGGACAGTTTTGTCTAAGGTGATGTCCACAGAATAGCTGGTGGCATGAGGTGCTTGTAGTTATAAACTTTCACAAAAGACTTGATCTTTGACTGCTTGGCAATTTTCTTCTTGCCCATAGCAGCTGTTACTTTCCAGGGGTAGTGGTCAATTCCAGCCACCAGAGCATGGCTTTGGGGGTGGGGGTGGGGGTCTGAGGTGCCATCATCAGTGTTGTTCATGATGACTTCATGTCCAGAGTAGTGTCCCTCTAGGACCAGCACCACCTTCCTAGGTTTCATGAACTTGCCCATTTCTGCAGAGACAGGGGCTGCTGAGAGAGCCAGAAAGTGGAAGACCCCTGAGCAGGTGAGCCCAGGTATACCAGATCACTCACTGTCCACTAGGCCACGCCACTCACTGGGTCTGCTCACAGGATGGAATACTATCTGCTGTGAAGCTGCTTGAGGCCTTGAGACTCAACTCATCAGACAACCCAATACCAGGGCAGCCCAGCCAGTGCCCTTAACTGCTGAGTCATCTCTCCAGCCCCTTAAGTTTTTATTTTACTTATTTATTTTTACTTTATTATTTTTATTTTATATGTATGAGGATATTGTTTGCCTGTATGCAAGTACACCTGTGTTGTTCAATGCTGGTGGAGGTCAGAAGAGAGTATCAGATCTGAATTCCCTGGAACTGTAGTTAGGACAATTGTTAGCTACCATGTGGGTGCCTGGAATTGAACCTGGGTCCTCTGCAGGAACAACCAGTGTTCTTAACTGTTGAGCCATTTCTCCAGGCCCCTTATTTATTAATCTTTGAGACAGTCTTATACTTTAGCTCAGGCTGACCTGGAGCATACTATGTAGTCCAGGCTGGCCTCAAACTCCTGGCAGTCCTCTTGCTTCATCCTCTTCAGGGCCAGGATTGCAATGTAAGCCACAATGTCTGTAAACATAGTTTGAGATAGTGTGATAAATGACCTCTTTGAAGTCAAACTGTTAGTGATAGGAATTGGAACTTCAAGTTTATATACTCTTACTAAAGTCTATAGTCTTCATTTAAAAATGCTTTATTATTTTTGTTTTATGTGTGTGAGTGTATTGCCTGCATTTGTATAAGTGCATCCATGGCATGCAGTATGTGGGGAGGTCAGAAGAGGGTGTTGGATCCTCTGGAACTGGAGTTATGGACAGTTGTTAGCCAACATGTGGGTTCTAGGAACTGAACCCAGGTCCTCTGCAAGAATAGCCAGTGCTTTTACCGCTGAGCCATTCTTTTAGCCACTATAGGCTTCATTTTAATTTGCAGTCCCCTGCTATATCCATAGCTGATGTTGAAGAAATGAATTATTCAGGAATTGGGCACGATTAAAAAAAAATCAAGAATGGTTCATATTGTGTGATAAAGACCTTAGTAATTAGAAATAAAGATTGATTATATCTTGGGGTATTCTAATTCAGAAGCTTAGAAGAATGAATTCTCAACAGAGTAGAAATTTGTCATACATAATGTATTAGGTTCAGTAAATACTTTTCTTATATTGTTTAACCTGCGTATGCTTCTAGGGAATATGTGAATATATCTTTATGAAAAAATATCCTGGACTGGAGAAATGGCCCAGTGGTTAAGAGCACTGCTGCTCTTGGAAAAGACCTGTATTTGAATCCTAGTACCCACATGATGGGTAACAATCGTCCTGGGGATCTGACACCCTCTACTGACCTCCAAGGGAACAGCAGGACATGGGTGCACCTACATACATGGAGGCATTACACACAGTAAATACAAATAATAAAATAGATATAAAAAAATCTTGCCAACTAAGTTTTTTTTTTTAAATGAAAAAAATTTGTGTATATGTATGCATGTATACGCATGTGCATGCATTTGCAGGTGCTGGTGGAGGCCAGAAGGGGGTGTCCTAACCCTAGAACAGGAGTTACAGGCAGTTTTGAGCTGTTCAATGTGGGTGTTGGGAACTGAACTTAGGTCTTCTGAAAGAGCAGCAGGTGCTCTTAACTCCAGCCATTTCTACAGCCCCCCACCCCCAAGTTACTGAATTAAGCTGAGTTCTTCAAAATCATGTCACCTTGCCTTTCCATGCTTGTATTCATGATAGAAAAGGTGCCTTTGCTCAGGCTGGGTGTTTTTTTTTTTTTTTTAAATTAATGCAAACAGTTTTAATTGAGTTCTGCAGAAAGAAACTGATTTTAGGAAGTAGGGTAATTGGGGAGCATTAGCCTTTTCAACAAGAGCATTACATTTAATAACGAATAACCTTCTTTAAATTGCTGAAAACTATGCATGGATACCAGGAAAGTGTGATCCCACTATTTTCAATGAATCTTGGGTCAAGCGAAAATTTCTTGGTAATCGAGCGAGTAGCCAACTGCCAGAGGCGCCTGAAGCAGGAAGGTGGAGAGCAAGATGGAGAGCACCGGAACGCGGAGCCTGTGGCCGTGGTTTGCGGCCAGCCCCGCGGAGCCCTTCCCGGAGCCAAGGCCTCCATCCACCCGCCGCCGGCTTTCCCACCGCTTTTAAACCTACTATGTGCTTTCCTCTTTCCTGTGTCAAATTTAATGCCTTTCTACCTACCTGCCCTAATTTCTTCCATTTTTTTCTTAATATCTGATACCCTTTTGAATGGTTCAATTCCATAATTACATCTGAAGTCCAACTGTATGTATTTGTGAGTCATGTTTATTTAATACTGACACCTTTTTGTTTGTCTTGCCTTCCTAACTAGCTCGCAATTTCTTTAAGGGCAGGACATCACATCTCAATGAGCTTATCCTTAGCTTCTTCTGAATTAAAGTTGCTGAATGATAATTATTAAACATGACAAATGTTCATTTCTACCCCTGCCCCTTCCTGTAGTATAATGGAAGTAAGAACATTGTTGAGAAATGGAGGAAGGGCAGCAGTAAACTATAGGGAAGGAGATTAAAGAGTGGGGGATCTTTGGAATCTGAAGGAAAGCTTCTATTCCTAGAAAGTGTGAATGAATATTTGAGATTTTCCCATGACAGTAAGAGCACTAAGGACTCCCACCGGAATGCTGGTACTTCTCCCCTGTGGGCTTGGAGAGTTTGGTCAGTTTTGTGTTTCTTCCTTAGAAGAACCTTAGTTTTGAAATATGAGTCGCTCTAATCTTTCCTGCCTTGAGCATTCTCCTTCTGTTC